AGGTGTTCTGCTTTTAAGATCTGTTTGTTTTGTTTTGTTTTTTTCTTATTTCTCACTACTCCTCCCTGATTTGTTCTCTTAATAAATGTAATTAATTTCCCCAAAATCAAATCTGTTTTGCCCGGGACGGTAAATGAGAGTGATCTCCCTGTCCTTATCTCAAACCTTAAGCCCTTTGAAATATTTTCTCCCCCGTCTAGTGGAGAAGGGGGAGTGAGAGAGCGGCTGGGTGGGTACCTGGCTGCCAGCCAGGGGCAAACCACTAAAAAACCTTATTGTGGCCTTCCAGTATCTCAAGGGGGCCTACAAGAAAGCTGGTGAGGGGCTTTTTAGGATGTTGGATAGTGATAGGACTGGTTCAGATTGGATGTTAGGAAGAAGTTCTTCACCATGACAGTGGTGAGACACTGGAACAAGTTGCCCAGAGAGGTGGTGGAAGTTCTATCCCTGGAAGTTTTTAAGGCCAGGTTGGATGGGGCTCTGAGCAGCCTGATCTAGTGGGGGATGTCCCTGCCCATGGTGGGAGAGTTGGACCTAGATGATCTTTAAGGTCCCTTCCAACCCTGACAATTCTATAATTCTATATTTTTTTTTTAATATGAATCAAAAATCTTCAGTTACAAAGCAACACACTAAGTTACACAACTGTGGGGTTCCCTCTTGTGAGAGGCATGACTTAATAACGTTTGGGTGGTTTGATAAATATCCACTGGATAACCTAGCAAACTTGTCAATACTGCAACAAAGTTAACACATGCAATGAAAGGCTAAAGTTTATGTCCTTCAGAACTGTTTAATAGTTTCTTTGCAGTACATAACTTCGATTGCAAGATTAAACAACTGTGTCTAGTTTACAGAGCTCACCACTGAGGTCTGCCACGCACTGGAGAGAACCAGTGCCTCATGCTAGACAAAATGACAGGCAGTTTGCTTAAATGGCAGCATACTTCAAGCAAGTAGTTTAGAAAATTCTTTTAGACATTTATTTCCCTCCTTTTGCTTCCAGAGCAATGAACTGTAGCGTTTTTTAATTAAAAGTGGAAAGTCAAGGTAGGAGCACACATACCAGCACACAGCTTGGTATTAAGTCTAATGACAAAAATATGAGCATGTTAGATTGCCATGAATTATCTTTGCACAGGCATGACTGACTGTTCTTTTTAACTTTTATTCCCTTCTCCCTCTGATAGTCTTCCTTTCAAGTCAACACCCTGAATGCCCTCTACAATCTGCATTTAACATTTCTCTTTTCCTTGTTATTCCTTATGGTCAGTTCTTTAACAGAAACTGATACAAACCAAAACTAGCAACTGAGCAAAGGCTTGGGAATCACCATTGCCCTTCTATTGTCCTGTCATCCATGTCTCCACTCCATAACACTGTGTCTACTTAAATGGCTGATAAAAAAAAAAAAAAAACAAAAAAAAAAAAAAAAACCAAAAAAAAAAAAATTCTAGGCCTCAGGAAGAAACCAACAGCTCAACTCCTAGTATCAAAATCAATCGTAACAAACAGAAGGTTTACAACTATGCAATTATCTACAATCTCTCCCTCTTCATTGGAAAAAAAATAAAATAAAAAGTATTTTAGAGTATTTTGGATTTTTTCTTCTCCACAGCGTAAGCTCTCTCTCTCTTAAATCCAGTTATACAGGTAACATTTTTAAAAGTCTGCAATAAACATTTGAAATATTTTAGTATTTTGGGGGTTTGTTTTCTAGGATTCTAATTCTTTCCAGAAGAATTCTAATCTTAGAAGCAATCTAAGTTCTGATGGATAGAATTTTAGCTTCCAGAAAGAAGTCCCACATCACTGAACTGCACTAAGAGTGCTCAACCTCAGGCTAATAAAATAAAAAAGGATTTTTCATTATACTTAGTACTGGGAATGCTTTTACTAAAAAAAAAAAAAGAAAAAAACCTGAAGTCATCAATTACACAGAAATACACTTGGCAAAAGCTTTAAAGAAATCACACTAAATGCTGTAAGTTAATTAAAATAAAATGAAAACGCCTGTGATAACAGGCTGTGAAGTCTGTTAAGAGAATGAAACATTTCATACTATCAGAATAATTCTTTCGATTACTTATTGGTGAAATTTTATTTTCAAGAGTTATTAAGGGCTTTTACAGCAGTTAGTTGCCTCCAACACCTATGTTATGGAAAGAAAAAGTAAAACAAGGAAACTTGATGGAACCAAGGTTTTCCAGATGATTAAACTCACTGGCAATTCTTTCCACGATTCAGTTACTTATTGACATAAAAATGCTTATTAGACATATGAACCATCAGATAAGACAGCTTGCCACGTGTCTCGGCACTAAAACTTTGCTGATTTAGAAGATAGTGCTGCTTCAGTTCTCCTCCTCTTTTATCGTCCTTAGATGTATCACTGGAGCATGGTATCAGACAAGAAAAGTCCACAGGATATAACCTATTACTGCTTTCTTATGCTAATGGAGTTATATAAGAAGTGGAAGACAGAAATATTGTCTCCAATATAAACTGTCCTGCGTTTGGTTTTGTTTGTTTTTTTTTTTAATTATTCTCGAGGAGAAAAGACAACGCAGAAAGAATCGTCCCTCGCCAACACTACTTAAGGAGACTTCCTGCTGTGCCTTTTGCAGCCAGACTTGCCTATCCCGCATCGGCGTTTTCAGCCATCAGCGCACTTGTAGCAATCGTGGGTAGAGCCCTTCCCATATCTTCATTCGCAAAGCCTAGCCATGATGATGCTAATGGAGATATATAAGAAGTGGAAGACAGAAACACTGTTTCCAATATAAACTGTCCTGCGTCTGGTTGGTTTTCATTTTTTAAATTATTTTGGTTTTGCTTTCCTCCCATTACAGACAGCTCTGGCTATTTTCTCTCAATTCTCCCCCACAAAACATCCCTCCTAAAGCAAGGAAGCTCGAGTACTGTTTCCAGTTGCCAAAACTCAAACTTAACTGAAAATAGCACAGGAAATCTAAACAAATTGTTGTAACACAAAGGATTCGAGAAAATCCAGAGACAGAACCAAGATTGCTACCAAACTTACCATTCCTGTTGCGAGTGTGCTACTATAGTATCACACAGGGTGGTCTCTGACCCAATGTTAAAACTGTACAGAAAACACCCGGTGAAGAGATTTTTAACAAAGTGCTTCAAATAAAGTTATTTGTTGTATTATGAAAGATAATCTCAGGATATTAACATACACGGAAATACAGCCCTAACAGAATTTCTAACATGTTAGCTTTAAATTTGTAGTTAAATATTCTGAAACATGCAATTTTTGGCAAAGTTTTACTTGGTCACTTCCGATACTTTATACAGAAAAATTAGGTTTCCCAAGAAGGATTTAAATGTATTTTTTCTCTAGGAAAGAGCAAGTTCATTTGTAAAGAAGAGTATTTTTGCTATTTCAACAAAAGTTAGCTTCTCTAATTTTCTGAGATACTTGGAAGAACTGTACCTCTAAGTGAATATTAACGTACCTTTCTGACATCTGAGCTTTTAGGTTCTGTGGTCCAGGTGATGATTCGCGACACTGCTAACCTAGTCTCACTTGAATTTACAAAATCTCCTGGATCCATCTGTTGTGCAAGAGTCTCTATGTATTTAAGGATTGCTACTTTGACCTGCAAAGAGAAATAGGAGTCAGGTGGACAGTAAAAATGGTGTGCTGCAAGCACAAGCGTGTTCACAGAGTAAAGCATTCATTCCCTAAAACAAAGATTTTTTTTTCCCAATTAAACTAAACATCTTTTCAACATTGATATAAAACTCCATATAAGAAATTCATTTATAAACAGAGGTGACATTTTAATGTAGTTATGGCACAGAAATTCAAGTATCAATAGAAATCTTAGATTTCACCAGTAGCATCTAGGAGACACACAATCCACTCGCATATGCAAAAGTTTATACTTGATAAAAAGAAAACCAAAGTACTCAGAGTATTTAAGAATAATCAGGATTTTAAAGAATTATTAAGAACTTTCTGCAAGTACTAAAGTGAAAAGTAAACTTCCTCTGATGATCCACTAATCAGTTCCTGTAGTTTCCTACTATGTAGTTAACACTCAGTATCCTTTTGTAAAACACCAGAGCAGAGCAGTCACCGTATTTGGGCATAAGCCACACTAGTCTTCCCATTAAATACAAAAGAGGTATAGAACAGAATTTCTACAGAAGACTTAAAAGCCGTCACACGCATACTTGTCCTTTGAAAATATCTAGGAGATAGAGACCTGGATTTACCAGGAGGATAGAAAAGCTTCTTTACTCCCTCATTTATCCGAGCATCAGTCTTGCACTCCACTAACTCCATCCACTCCTTATGCAGAATTTCTCTTTTATACACCACAGATCGCAGCCCCTCTCTAGCATCTCCAAAACCTCACAGCTTTGGGCAAAGGGCCATTACATCTGTATCTGCCTTAAATATTTATCTCCTCAGCTCCTGCTGTGGAGAGATCTGTCATGCAAGCCATCAAAAAATGGCAAACATTTATTCAGGCCACCCATTTTTTCCACTAATCATTACAGTGGACCAGAAACACCTACCAGGATGCAGACACCTATGCCCATAATAACCAGGAAAAAAAACAAACCCAAAACAAACAAACAAAAAAATATCACAAAATGAGTTCTGGGTGTATTTTTAATTGTACACAGCTTGTAGTACACCTAAGGAAACCTACTGAGAAATTTCCCTTGGTCATGAAAACTATTTCCACAAAGTATGTACAGAGCTGAGATACAGATATAAAAGGTGTAGCAAAAAGAACTCATCTAATCTCTCAGAGAGGAGACAAACAATATCTGACTGCAATGAAAGCAGGTCCAAGAAGTCTTACAATATTTGCTGTTAATACTGAATATTCATTATACTAAATATATTGAATATGAATGCTGAACATTTGCTATCAATCTCAAATCACTGTCTATGAAGTCATTTAATGCTGTCTTGACTTCCTTTGTGCTCTTCCACACTGAGTTTATTAAATTCATTTTAATTAATTTCAATTTATTTTGCTGGATTATTAACATTGAGACATTTTTCCTGTACAACACAAGCAGATATCTTGTTTAAGAACAGCACTGCTGTAACAGAGTGAGCTGAAAGAGAGATCAAGCCACAGATACCACCATTAAAAAAGTAAAATTAAAAAACTAGTCATAAATGAAACCAAAGTGCTTCATGAACATCTTTTATAGATACTGAAATGACAAATTCTGGCACAAAACTGGAGATTCTGGACATACTGTGAGGATGTTATACAGAGTCAGTGTCTGATTGTTTTCCTGTCCTGTCAAAAAAAAGTGAGATTTAAAGAGTTTCATTTGCTGCATCGGGGCAAGACAAAAGAAACATTTCACAGTACAAGAAAAAAGGGAAAGTGTAAGGTAGAGTAGCTGCTTTACTTGAACCAGAAGAAAAAAACAACCCAAAAAATCCACCTCTTACAGTGCTTTCCTGGGATGCGAGAGACTCTGCTCTGTCTTACTCAGGCTGAAGAGAAGCAACAGCACAAAGCGACTTTCACACTGCCACAGCCCAGGGTCTGTCCTGAAGTTAGTGGACGCGCAGGAGGAACTGCCTCTGCCGTTATTAAACCAAATGACTAACATATGCCCTGAGGAGAAATTCTGAGGAGCACTCATCTCTGTGAATCTGTACCATGGGGTGGTTGGTTTTAATTTTAGGGCAGAAATTTTAATGCACCCTTGGCGAGGGGCAGGGAAAGTATTGCCTGATCAACTGTGGCCAAAGACTTTGTCAACAAATCAGAATTTTCAAAGGAAAGAAGGGTTCAGAACCTTGTGAAGAATGTTGCACACGATGCTTAAATCAATTCCTCACTGAGTGCGAGCCATTTGATACTCAACCCAAGAAAAATGCAAGTGATGATTCAAAGTGTATTTCAGGACAATGCCCACCCTTTGGAAAGCCCATGTCCTGCACCTGGGAAAACAAGTTTCACAGGTTATTTTCCACCCAGAAAATTTGACTCCTGTCCCCGTCCAAATACTGGACCAAAAGGCTGTGTAAAACTTTAGCAAAAGATGGAGCACAACACACTGTGCTGAATCTTCCATGACTTGGGTCAGTAGAATATCTTTCTCCATGTTTGTTCCTCTTACTGGCCAGCTATCCAAATCCACCTCTGTGGCCACTCTGAAATCTCAACTTGTATTATTTGTTTCTACCACATGGAAATCAGAGGAAAAGTAACTTGTAGAAGGGAATCCTTCCACAGAGCAAACTTCTGATCTATCATCCCTTCTTGTATCTGATCACTTTTAAGTATGCTGAAAATCCTTCCTGTTTTTTCCTGTCACAATGAATGTTGTTTCTCAGTATATTTAGCCCAAAGGCACACTCTGCAACTAAATAATCATCTATCAGAGTAAGAACGAAAGCTGAAGACTTCAAGACATGGAGTAGTACCCTCAACTTATCAATTAATCTGTTAGACACCTGTGTGCATTGAGGTGGGATTCAAGAATAAGATATTAAATAGATACTTTGCAATTTATGTAATGTCACTGTCTGGACCCTGAAGTTGTAATTACCTCAGAAAGATGGAAGTAGGGGGCAGATACCACTTTCGTCTGAAAAAAAACCTTATGTTCTCTTAACCAGTTACACACTTTACTGTCCCAAAATCTGATTTTAAATAATATTTCATACCAACGTATGTTCTTCTATGGAGATAGTTTTGATCAACATCTTGATTTAATAAGTCTCCCTCAAATACTGGACATTATTTTCAAAATGTCTTCGATTAAGTGTTTCAGATTTCTTAATTCCTTCTAGGTCATATAGTGAATATCCTTGAACTTAGCCCCAAGTCAACCTAGTAGGAGTCCGTGTCTTGCTCCAAACCTACACTCACAAATCTGAAACATCATCGATACCAACTATACTACTGTATAGAAGGAAAAAAAACAAACCAAAAACCCACAAACATCTCAACCGTCAAATTCACCTTCACCTTCCTGGAGAGGAAAATCACGTAAAACAAAAGTGAGTCTGATGTGCTCCAAGAATTTATTTAAACAACAAACTGATTTTTACTACCTCATTTGCTGTCTTCAATAAATGACAGCAGTCCCTTTTTAACACAGCTCTACGAAGCAACAGTGGTCAACGTATCAACTGTCCTCAAAAGCTTAAAAATGTAAGTTTTACTGTATTGTAGACAAAAAAAGGCAGATTCATGTGACTTTAGGTTCAACATAACTTGAGAAAAGCCATATTCTTGTGCAGTACCAAACTCGTGTAAACATAATTCGTGCAAGATAGAGCAAAAAACACGTTATCATATGCTTGTTATTTCCCCATTTGCATCACCTGTAAATCTTAGTATTTGATGCATTTATCCTAAAATCAACTCTCTTTAGAACTGTAAATGTACTACAGAGCATTTTTTTTTTTTACTTTTCAGTTACACTGGCAGGTCTAGGGACTACAGATTCTTAATGCAAAAACATATGTAATCATTGGTCTACACAGTGCTTTCAGGAAAGTAAGTGTACCACAAAGGGAGCTGATTTTTTAATACAGCAACTCAAGTTTCTATTAATATTAAAATAATTTAAATGAATTCAAGACCTATCAGGCTGAACACAGGAAAAAAAAAAATCTAATTAGGAAAACATGACTGGGAAATCACAAACATAACATTAGAAAAGACTTGATAGAGTGAGTTTGCATAACCAGCTTGATGTTAGGCAGCCACGTTTTTCTTGCTCTTTTTTACCATACCATGGTTTTATTAGACCTCTCTTGCAGCAAACATTTTCATACTAGTGCAATGCTTAAAATTCAACATCTGCATGCTTCAAATTTCTGGCGAAGGTTAGTAGCAGCATACAAATGCATTCAAATAAAAATTATTGGAAACACTGTAAGAGTTTGACATAGGGTTAAGAATAAAGACAATAATTCAGACAAAAACCTTTGAGCTCCAAAAAGAGCGAAGTTGGTCCTGTAGTGCTGGCTTGACTGTCTGAAAGTTCACAAAAACAAAATCCACTAATTTTTAAAAAAAAATATATATATATTCACATAAAACAAAAATAAACAAACCAAATTCAATTATTACAACAAGCAAATATTTATCCATTAAGATATCTGTAAGTCTGAAAATTCTTACCTTCAGACTAGGTGTCTGGGTCTGGTCAACAGTAAATCTCATTAAAATACTGAACTGGAGGTCATTTGGAAAAGATTCCCTGTAAAACAAGCAAATCAAATTGTAGTGTTACATGAAATTTTCTTTCAATACCTGTTGAGAGCCAACAAATAAATCATCACTCTTTAAGTGGTTTTTTAGGTGTTGTATTTGTTGGGTTTGGGGTTTTTTTTTTTAAATTTCTTTTTTAAGAACTCATTACCTTGTGACATCAAGTGCCTTCTGAACTTTTGCTTGTACAGATCCAAGCAAATCAGCACCCATTTTTTTCAACAGCTGCGTCAGCAGTACAAACAGCCAGTCCTGCAGATCTTCTTTATGGACCTGGATGAAGTCCACTAGCGTCTCCAAAAACATACTGAACACCTAGAAGGCAGAAGAAGATGGAAAGAGGGTAGGATGGGGCAAAAGAGGAAACGACACTGACGTATGCTGAACTTACAAACAAAGAAGAAAGCAGTAAGGGAATCAGAGGCAGAGAAAGGCAGTGTTTTGCAGCCAAGCAAGGAAAAAAAAAACACAACAAAATCTGTCTTGCTTTTTCATTGTTGGGGTTTTTTTGATACAAGAGTACATTGGAAATGTTAGCTGACTCCTGCAGAAGTTTCGCAATTAGGTATTCCATGCAGTTTCGTCAAGAAAAGAAATGCTTACTGTGATGGCTGGCGCAACCTCAATATTCTCAGTAAAACTTAATTTTTGACCCTTTCAAGCTTGATCGTTAAATTGATTTGACATATTCCTCAAACACTAGAAAGCCACTTTCTCTCTAAAAACAGAAAAGCTGCTACAATTCTTGAGTAAAACGTTCATTGTAAATATCTGCACCACTAAACATTGCAAAATCATGAAAGCTGGCCAATTCCTTCACACAAAATATTTGTGGAACAGAACAAGGTTCTCCTGCTACAGCAGGTATCCAAACACAAATCTGACTCACCCAAGTAGTGAAAAATACATCACAATACATTTCAGTTTGGCAAGTGTTTAAAAAACACAAGCAGTGTTTCCACCTTTTTCCATTCTGTTCTTTTCAACAAATAACGTTGGATACAATAAATACACGTAACATTGAAAAGACTGAATTCAGTAAGATAATGACGTATATTGTAATATTTATAATAATCCTAGCATTCAGCCCAGGAAGAAGGGCTTTTTGGAGGGAAGGGGTGAAGCAGGGCATGAGAAATAGGCAACTTCATTTAAACAGTCCTTTTAGTACCTCACTAATTTTCTGTTTTTTCAAGACTTATGGTGAAACACCAGTATGGCCCCTGGGTTTTCCATTTCTCTGTCATGAAAAAACCTCGAGTGTTTGGGCTGAAAATACTACTTGAACAAGTAATACACACTCCAGCAACACAGAAGCACTGCTGTGATGCAAAGGGCTGCTGAGCTATTACCTGCTGAGTATTTACAACATGAGTACGAGGTTAAAAATTGCTCCAGAGGAAGGGTTGGAATCCCACATCCTCCTGCGGCTGACCTGGCTTCTCCTAAGGCCAAATCCTGCCGCTGGCTGTGAGAGCGGATGATTCCAAACCACGACCAGGGCTCACACAGCTGTGGAAACCAGTTCACAGAAGTGGGCCACCTTCTGCGGCACTGGTCAAGTGTGGAGGAGTCGGTGCATGCTGCTGCACATCTTCATGGTCAAGGAAATTAGACCTTTTTTCGTGAGGATAATCAAGCCACGGTGAGGAAACTCATAGCATAACATGAAAAAAAATCCATACGGACATCTTTAAAAGAAGTGCCTCAACATCTACATTAGAAATAAAAAGTAAATTCAAATTCTTTTTGCCAAGAAAGGTTGGACCAGATGATCCTTGAGGTCTCTTCCAATCTGATACTCTGCTATTCTTTCAGGGTCTAATACAGACCAGAGAGAATCTTTTAGTAGATATCTTAAATACTGAAAAACAGTGCTAGAAACAAAGTAATACAAATTCTACTCTCAACATAAAGCCTAGCAGGATGAGCTACTTTTAACTTCCCTTTGGGGGGAAAAACTATGCTGAAAACTGTAAAAACAAAAAATTGCAAACTCTTCTGCTGTCTCTCTAGATTGTATTCAAGAGGAAAATTTTATGCTTGGGATTGGAAATGCTTTCTATATTTGGCTGAACTGAAACAACATACCGCTTTGTGGATGCACAAATACTGGGAACAATTGTGAGACCTGGGCAAAACTAGACAAAGAAGGACTTTCTGCATCATAATATGACAGTCTTTAGGTTTCACAGCCCTAAAGTAAGGAGAAAATATATTTGACTTAAGCAAACAACAAAATAAAATCTGAGGGTTGTAGAATTGTGTTTAAAGCCCTTCAGATTAAGCTACACAGATCAGCAGAATTTAAAACCTTTTCCTTTGAGTTTGCAGACACTGACACGCACATCTCCTTCACCAAAACGTGCAAGCTGAACAAAACGGTTACAATCTCTTAGCTGATGGAGCAATGTGGATTTCTTACAACATTTTCAACACGTGAAGTGGTCTGAATAGAAATCATGATGAAGTGAATCGTGAATCATGAATCACTACGGCAAGAGTGCTCTAAAGATCCCATGCCAATGTTTTAGCTGTTAAAAATACAACTTCAGACTCAATCTTGTTTTCAAGTATTGTATGATTTTGAGTTTACCACAATTAATGTCAGGAGAAAATTCAAATACACTGAGTCATTTTGTTGTATTTTAAAAAAAGTAAAGTAATATGAATTGTACTGCTCTGTCCTAGGCCAAAGCATGAAGAATTTTAAAAGGCTGTAAGAGCATTTAAGGTAGAGGATGAGTTTGTAATGAAAAATGGAACTCAACTACCTCTATGCTGAACAATGTATGTGGGTGCTGCAATTTCTGCAGTTTCCATTTTTATGATGTAAATCAAAATTCTGAAATCAAGCATCTAAAATTCTGAATAATTTGATAGAGGAAAAAAATAAACAGGTATGATAACTCCAAGTGACCTTTAAAGATAATTATTTCAGATGTGCCAACCACCACAATTAATGCATAACCAAACAACGTCAGTTAATTAGTAGATAAAGCACATCTCGAAACTTTACCACACAGTTTACATTATCATATATAGCATTTTATGATTGCAAAAGGCTTGACACTGCATGAACTCTTTGGGGAAGAAAAAAATAGAGAAAAAGGGTTAATTGCACATTCATGCAAGTAAGGTTAGGCTTCCAAGGAATATTGATTGAACCAACTTACTCTCTAAAGAGAGTTCCAACACAGGGGACAGCATGCAAAATGAAACAAAAACAAAAACAAAACAAAATAACAAAAAAGGAAAAAAGATAAAAACACACAAATTAGTGACCATCGATACAAAGTTCCTGTATGGAATACAAAACAAAATAAAACAAAAAAAGTATTTTAAAACTTATGATAAATTTAGTAATTTTATTGGGATACCAAATGGATTTTAGAAGTAAGCACTTGACATGTCCTTCAAATCATTCTCCCATTTTCTCCTCCAAACGACATTACTCTCTTTTTCTAAGCAATCCCCTACATCCAACTATCATATTAAAATAAGCCTTTTCAGAAACAAAACAAACAACAAAAGCAATGACAGTCATTCCTACAGGCACTTGAAAAGAGCCTAATATGAGATTTGTGTAGCTACATGTGTGCGATAAAACGCATAACTCATGAACTTGTAATACTTAAAGGATCCTCCTCATAATATATCGATAACTACTACTAAGTTTTGCGACACCAAAAAGCAGGCAAGGTTCTCAGTGACTGGAACAGGAGGATCTCATGAGCTGTAACAGAGGCCACATTGTCAAAATCAAAGCAATATGATTTAATATCAGAACACACAGTAAACAAAGCAAAACCATCAATTAGAATAATTAAATGTAACATTCCTAAAGGCTTAATGAAAATATAAAATGCAGCTCTGACACCTACAAACAAATTTTGTAACATTTTCATTATCTTACCCTGGCTCCCCCACTACAAAGAGATCTCTTGATCAAGCTGCTATTCACAATTTTGCATTATTTCAGTTAAAAGCCAGATATTTCAGTTGAAAGTCAGAAATATTTCAACACTTCATTTTCTCTCCTCTCCTCTGACTTAACCATTCCTTTTACGGAATACGTTCTTGAGTTTCTCTTCAACTGCTTTGCTTCAGTCTTTTCTTCTGCATTTCTGCAGCATGTGAGCAATCTGAATATCACTTTGCTGTGTGCAATGCAAGTTTCTTCCAAAATATATAGTGTCACCAATAGCAGTGAAGTCACTTCTCCAGCAGAAAAAATAAGGACTAAGTTAACCTGTCAAGACTCCTCATTGCTTTGAATTTAGCTTCCATTGGAGCCATGAGAAAGACTTAAAGGGATGTAAAATGCATTGTATAATCAAAGTAGTTTTTCAAAATTCTGCTGAGAACAGCTGGTATTTCTGAAATAACCACTTTGCTCTGAATTTTTTTGGGTTATCATTTTACCTCTTCTGAAATATGGACACAAAATGGGACACGTTATACTCAACATAAAGGGTACATTTTCTTCCAAACAAGCCTACAATTCAAAGAAAATATTAGGTTACATGTGTTTTAGACTTGATGGTCTTGAAAGTCTCTTCTAACCGAAACTGTTCTATGGTAACTTTATCCAGCTCCTTACTTACCTGCAGCCCTTTTGCTACGGGCATTTACTGCATATATGAAGCTGTTCTAGTAACCCACCTCCCACAAAAATTTTAAAAATACTATCAAGTCAAGTAAATTAGTTAAGAAGATTTTAATGGTCTTAGAAAACAGCAGGATTATCATCCTTGTTTTATCATCCATACCAGGTCTTTCTCTAGGTAAAAAAGAGTAAAGCATGGCTTTTTTTTTTTTTCTGTAATGACTCCACCTCACTTATTGCTAATATCCAAGAGTCTCAGCTGACAGCCCTATCCATGGAACGTGAGGAAGACAGCATAAGCTACGGTAAGACAAAATAAGCTGGAAAATAAACAAGTACATATATGGTACAGTTCATCAGTCTTATCAAGTACACTATAGTTAGACTACTTTCTGTATGATTTAAATTACTGTACTAGGGTCTTCTGTTTCTAACTGAGAGAAAACCATTACTCACATTGAAGTGGCCTCTGTAAATACAGTGTCTTAAAAACACTGACAAATTTTGAGCACGAACTGTTGAACTACTTGAATGCATTTTAGATAAAGCTAACCTTTATCTCATTTATCCTGCAAAAAAAGTGGAAAATAATCTTGTTCTAAAATTGCATATTAAATGGATTGAAATTGAATACTGTTAATTGCTTACAGAATAGTTTGTCACATTTTTACATGTGCAAATATAACTGACATGTTAACACAATTGGCTTTCTATTATCAAACATTTACTGCAAGTAAGAAAACCTAAACATACCTTACTGTGAGGATCAGCAAACATTCTTGTGAAGATCTCGCACAACCTTTTCAACTCAACACGACTGTCAAAATGACAACAACATATTAGTCTGCTTGAACTACCCAAACAATCAGTAAAATCAATCAGTAAAATCAACTGTAAATATTGAATCGAGTAATCAAAGTAAAGCTTTTGGTTAAGACATAGATAAAAATATAATAGATTGTTTAAAATGAGACTTTCAGCCTAGAAATGTCTCTTTAAACTACTTCATTTATTATACTGTTCCTGACTATTTTAACAGTGAAGCTAGGGAAAAGGTACTTTTAGCAGCTAGTAGCAAATGGTTTCTTCTGAATAAATACCCAACAACTAAAAACAATAATAAAAAATGAATAATAAGGTCAATAAATAAAGTCCTTCCATCAATACTAGATACAAGAACTTTAAGAATCTTTTGTATTGCAAGGATTCTCTTGATTTTAAATCCCAATTCTTAAACTGAGCTTTTTAAACAGACCTAGTGGCCAGAAGTGACAACAGCTTCCTCATTCCTTCCCCCACCTGACTCTCACAGCCACGTGCCTTGCTTTCCCTCTCCCCCTGACATGCTATCTTCCTTAGAACATTGGCCTCCTTCCCTAGCCTCCTTCAATGCTGAAATAAAGTGTTTTTCTACTAAGATGCCTTCTTACCTTAAAGTCCTCTGGTTCTTTAGTAAGTTTTGCAGGCCTAGGAGGCCTTCTTTTCTCTCCGACCAGTTGGAGCTGGCGCAGCGATTCAGGACTTCGGCCACATCTTCCGTCTGTCTCATGTAGGTCGGGATGCTTCCATTCCGAGAGCTATAGGACCTTTCTGAACAGGCACTTGATGCGTCGCTGTTGGCATCGTCGTCTGAGTACATCCCGTAAGACTCGTATCTTCTTCGCACGGGTTTCTTCTGTCGTGCAGAAACACCCCACGTTAGTACTGAGTTTCAAAGAGAGAGTTATTCAGACCCATCACCAGTAGAAAGACCAACAGTTCAAGTAACCGGTGCAACCCCTACACCCTGCGGTGACAAATGGCTCCAACTGTTCAGCATGTCAAACCAATTTAAGAAAAATATTTTAAAGTAGTATGGCTTGCGTGGTACTTTTAAATAGAAAAGCAAAGCAAGTACAGAGAAGACATACGTTTGATGAAACATTCAACTTGAGGTTTACTTGTAAAAATCCATAAAATTGAATAGTAGGGTGATACAAAGATTGTATTGGAAGTTAGTTATTTCACTTAATAGTTTTATGTATGTTACAGCATGTAAGAATCGAGTCTAAACCCACATATTCTGTCACTTTAACTTACTTTCTATCAAGCACATTAATAGCAAAATATTAAACTATTGAAGAAGGAAAATGGTTTCTATACCTTGGTCCGTATGTCTCCTAAGAGCTGTTAGCAGTAAATTATTGAAAAGAAACAGAAATTGAGAACACGAAGGTAAGGCATAGCAGCATTGTCACTATCAAACTATCTGCCACTGGAAAACACGTAAGTCCTATCTTCAATTTTGCTTTTAGCTCTCTGCATCTGACTAGCATATCATGCATCAGCAAAAAAGCAGTTTGCTAAGCTTCCCTTTACAGATTTTATATACAGATATTATATATCATGTGCCGCTCAGGCACAAAGACTTCTCTGTCAAAATCTTTTGTGTCTTAGGCAGCAGTATTTGAGCACAAAGACTTCACACATGCAGTCAATTCCCATCTGAGTATGAAACTCTCACTTAAACTGTATTTTCCCAACAACTCCATCTCCGTCTTTAAATTTCTTTCAATATCTAAATTTTGTCATTGCAACGTTTACTACAGAAGTCAATATTGTACAGGAAGAAAAAAAATAAGTAATGCAAAAATCTCAAATCTCCTAAAACCAAAACCAAGCCAACAAACCAAACCAAAACATGCCAAAGGGCAGAGAAGAAGCTATTTACCCTAAAATGAAAAACCACACACCTCTGCAATTCACATTTTGGAACGAAAGCTAGTATTTAAAAATTTGGTTTCATTACATATAGCAGCAGTAGTATACGTGATTATTTTCCCCTTAATTACCACTGCCATTTGCAAAGGGTTCCCACTTCTGACTGCAGAATAACTTAAATGATATTGCAATACTGACTCAACAATACATGACATAACAAGCAAGGTTACTGTCAAGAGAATAAGCATACATACAAGTGTAAGAGAATCAAAGAAGGGGAAAAGGGAATCACCACGACATGGGCATTTTTGAAAAGGGTCACTGTAAGTTAAATTTTTATTTTTTTTTTTTAAGAAATGGAATCTGAAATGCCAAGGACTGCGCTGAAATCAAGGATCTAAAATTATGTAAAGATCACCATCTCACTGCATTTCAAGCATCTTATACTGAAACCACTTCAAGAATAAAATGTTGCTGTCTTCGAACCTTCTTAGCAATGACAGACTAACTAAAATTCACAAACTAATTTTCCTCTAACATCTCTAGAAATGTTTTGGATGCAGGTAACACAAACTCGCTTCTATAAACAAATGCTATTGCTTCAGCAGAGCAGGACACGTTCAAGCCTAAAGAGTTTCACTGGAAGCAGGAGTTTCTCCTCAGTTCATATTCTTACTACATACTTTGCCCCAAATATTTAAATAAGCTACAAAGCTGCTAAAAGTGGTAAAGATATTCTTCATGTAGCACCAGTGCAGATAAAACTGTAACACAGGCTTTCTGATTGCAGCCAGAAACTTTGGATGACCCATGGACTGGTATTCTATTGTTCCCTACTCCAAATCCCAACACTAATTTGTAGTTTACTTACTAGCATTCTCCACCAATGCTGAAAACTTTTTCCACTTTCTGGTTCTGTAAACTTGGAAAAAAAACTACTCAGTCTCACCGTAACCCCTTAGGCACGATTGCCTGGGTATCCTGATTTCTATGCCAGCAAATGTGCACAAATTTTAAACTAATGTGCCAAGACGACACTATTAACTAAGAAATGAACAAATTGGCAGACTAAGAACATGTCAGAGGTCTTCAGACTTTCTCTTCTGAAATTTCATTTCTCTCTATCCTATATATATATCCTATCTATCCTATATATCTATCCTATCTATCACATCTGGCTATAATTACATTTTTGAGTTTAATTTGCACATTTTTTTACTAATGTTCCAAATAATCTTTTTTGTTAAAACAGACTAATAATGAACTCCTTAAAGCACTCTGATAAATGGGTAACAGGTACTCAGAAATATTTATTGATATGCAAATAGAATGCAATACCTGATAGAAATTTATCTGATTCATAGCATCAGTATTTTAAATTAACCAAGACTTCAGTTTGCTGATGTAAATATCAGAACATCAGAAGATGTGAGGCATTCAGTTAGGCTAACTTGGGCAGGGAGGTAGAGGAACCAAACCCACCCTTTTAAAGAAGAGTAAAGGTTAAGAAAGAGAATGGCATCGCCAGTTTGGAATTCAGGGCTTCTTCTGCACTCTTTAATATACAAGTACTAAATATTTTAATGAGCTGTATCCTACAGAAGATGAGCACAAGATCCTTACCAAAGCATCTGCTACCGCCTCTTCCACGTCAGAACCTGTGTTCAGAACTCGCATGGCACTAACTGATGACGACAATCTACTCGACTGACTAATTCCAAAGCCAGTACCTGTTATAACAACAACAAAAATCAATATAAAGTATTCAGTCAGAATAGCAATGCAGGGTATTCATACCAAGCTCACTTTAAAACAAACAAACAAACAAAAAAAAAAAACCCAAGCAGAAGAAAAGCATTGGCTTAACATTTCTAATAAATTACGTAGTAGCTAAAATACTGGTTATTTTCATTCTGAAGTCTTTAGTACAGCAAAGAGTAAGAAATTAAGTAAAAAAAAAAGTTCTATTCCAGTATCACAGAGGAGGAAAAACCACAAAACAGTGTTTTTAACTGAAAGAACCTTTTTTTAAAAAAAACGTCTTCTTCATTTTGGGTTTTTGTTTTCATTTAAGAAGAAAGCAAATACAATAGGAAGGTAGCTATTGAGAACACTGATTAGAAAACTACATGCATAAAGAATGCTCTACAAATACTGAAAAATGGAAAACTAAAAGTTCTTCTGCAAGTAAAAATAAAATTGTTGTTAAGGAAGAAAAGGATTAACATTGGAGGGTGGGGATGAAGACAAAAATCTAGCAACATAAACACATCTACCTGGATTATTAAAATCACAAACTCAAATGGATATAAATAATGCTTTTTAAAACCGAACTATGAGAATAGCCAAGTGGGTGGGGAAAAAAAAAATAATCCAGGATGACTGCACAGATGACAGCAAAGGGTACTCATCCTTCACCTGTAGCCCCATAAGCATCGGGAGCGTAGAGGGCACCAGTGGATCTGGAGTGATGTCTGGAAGCTGCAATAACAGGATCATACAAACCCTATCTATTACCATGACATCAAAGTGCTGCAATAGTTGCTCAGATGAACAAGAAAATAATGATCAATAGGATTCAGCTTTAGCAAAGGAAAATGAGTGTTACAGAGAAGTGAAAAAGCTTCGGAGAAGTTCTTTCATTATAGAGAATATGATTACACAGAATTGTATAGGTTTAAATACACTGGACATGTCATGCTTGATTTTTTTTTTTTTTTAATTTAAAAGATTAAGAGCAGATCAAAAGCAAGTATATTTAATTTCAAAGAAGAAAAAAGCGCAAATACACACATGCGTGCAGACAAACACACGAACACAATCCTCAGAAATAGCCACCGATACTGGACTTCTATTGCAGATTTAAATCAATTCTACACACTCAAGTGAGAGCTAGAGCTCACATATCCAACACTATCTGCAAAAAGCAAACAGTGTACAAACGTATTGTGTTAGGAGCTGGCAATCTGTATAACCTTGAGCTCTTGCCTATGTGCAGGTAAGTCAACTTCAGTTAAAACTCACCAATATGTAGAAGAAAGGTAAAACTCTTAAATTTTAATTAAAAGTTTATAATTATTTTACACAACTAATATTTCACATTTGCTTGCTTTATGTTAGATATTATAGCTTATGAAGATTCTTTAAAGTTACAAAAAATGGGAACCAAAGATCCTTAAGGAATTCTGAATAAAACTGAGTACTCTCCTCCTTCTGGGACCTGTACAAAACATCTTGCAGAAATTCTAAACAAGTTGATTCACCACTGTTAATATTTTCTTTCTTAAACTAAGTAATTTTAAATTCAGTATATTTTTAAACAATTCACCTTCATCTGGGGAAGCACACCTCTTAAACCTGAGGGAACTCCAAAATGATACCAAGTCTTGTAAAGGTCCAAGAAACAATGTAGCTTTTAACACAAAGTTCTTTACTTCTTTTATAAAGTACAAAAACGTATTTTATTTCCAATTAAGCCTGCATGAAGTTGGTTAGCTAGGGAATTATTAAATTAAAGGTGCAATTGAAAATTCCAAATTGACACATATAATTCGAGATGATCCTGCCCTCCATATACATTTGAAACATGCTGGACGAGAATATTATTTGTAGCCCTCAAACTGTAGAAATTGTGCAAGTATTTACTGTTATTGCTTTGTTTTTTTAAAGATGAATCAAAATAAGATTTTAAATAGACTCCAAGAAAGACAGTTTGTTCACTAAAATATGGGAACCATACCAGTCTGATATTTAATATTAAGTATCTGTAATAGGAAAATAGGCACGTCCATATAAATTATAAATCACTTGCTCCTCTAGGAAGCTGTTATCTCCCAGTATGTAATCCTATACTGGGATGTGAGATTACATAAATACTTCATACCAACGTATACAAAAAAGCAATTGTGTAGCCTTTAGATCATTTTATGCCCCCGTGGGTTGCATTTGCAAGCAAAAATTTCTATGTTGAGAATCAGACACAAATTACGTTCCTCCCTCCAAGCCCATGTAAATTTGTCTCCAGCTACATAGAGTTGGATTTGCCTTATTTCATCATCGACTTGAGCCCTCGAAGAATATTAAATTTAATATTTTTGATATACATTAGTAGCATCCCACAGGACAACACTGGCCCAACATTTATTCCAGGTATGGCTGCTTTTTTTTTTTTAAAAAAAAAAAAAAACAACAACAAAACAAAAATCAACACTGGATTCCTGTGCTGCTTTGCATTCTCTAGGCTATGAGACAATCCAACCTACTGTGTTTGTACAGGTACTTGCTTTGATATCCAAACGCAAAAATTAAACTCAACCAATACAAATAAAACCTCAGGTAGCATCTGTCCCAATGACCATCTTATGGTGTGAGTTTAATACAGATTTCTTAAGGAAACAAGCATTTGACCAAACATAAAATGTAAATTGGACCTCACATGCTTGCAATTGAAGTCAGGCTTTAAGGCAGCAAAAGAAGCACAAAAAGATCTAGAAAATATCCTCGTCTTTAAAAGAACATAAGATACATGTGTATTCCAACATAGTCTGCCACTTGTGTTTGAGTAAGAGTTTTCTAATGGACTCAGCATGATGTCTACTTTTAATTTAATTTCCCAATTAAACAGCATCTGAGCAAATCAGCATTAGCTATCAAAACAGCTTTCATTCAATTATTCTGTACTTTCCCAATAAAGCCGTGGCTGACAGGAAGCACACAGCTTTAACAGAACACACTAGGCCTGGTCAAGTGCCTTGACTGGAAACAGAAACCAGAGATTTATTATTTTCAGACCAAAAAATATCAGGTTCAGATACAATTGGACAGAAATAGGCTTTTATTACAAAATGATTAAAAAAACCCCCAAAACCAAAAAAACCTACCAAACCTCAGTATCTAAAAATTTACTACCAACTTGAGAGTAACCTTGACAAGGATACATGGAGAGGAGAAGCTTCCCTAATCTTAATCAAATGTTAAAGTAATTATATAATCTAATATTTCTATGCCTTATTGACATTTCAGAAACTGTCAACAGCTCGACATTGCAAAATCTTTTAAGTGCCAGCCCAGTAAGCTGAAATACTATGTGAAAACACAACTTCTGCTTCTAGCAGCTCTAGAAATGAGGACTGAACATAACTATGCATGTGTAAACACTGAAGGTTTTCAATTCCTCCTCTTCCCCACATAACAACAGCTGCTACCTCCATTATTTACCATATGTTCTACACACTTAAAAGTAAACTGTACAACTGTACTCTGTTCATCCACACGTCTAAGAACTTTGATACTTGCCCTGCTCATTTTTAAAAAAATAGAGAGCAACCTCAGAATACTGTTCTGCTTCAGTAGCTTGGTCCCTTGTCCACACCACTATACTTACTGTGTTTAATTTTTTTACCTTTTTTTTTTTCCCCCCACATAATACAGTGATGACAATACAGCTAAGGAGTCAAAACAAAGTGTATTTTCTTCTTGTGTAGCAAAATGACTAGCGAGCAACTCTGAAGAGCAGCAGACCCCAGCTGTTGCTGCAGGGAAAGGAGGACAGCCCCGCTACATCCCCTGCTCTAGCCAGTCGGCGAGAAATGGATTAGCTAACTGCATCCAAGCAAGAAGAGCTGTAATAAAGAGAAGCACGTAATCGTTCTTTCGAAAAAAGTATCCCACACCTTTCCAGACTCGGTATTTAAGATAAGACTAACACCAATGATGTGTTTTCTTTTTCAAGTGTGCAACTCATTCACACGTTGGTCAACTCTCCATTAAGGGAAGCGGTGAGCGAGCCAAAGGAAGGGGAAAAACAATGGTGGCTGGCTACAAGCTAAATGAAGTAGGCACGGATTCGTTAGGTGCAAATAATGAAGGGCAAAGACAGCCATGCACAACGAGGGGGCTCCGAGTACTTACCGAGGGGTGGGAAAGAGCGGACAGGGCTTGTGTCCCTGCTACTTTCACGGCTGGCCTCCCGACTGCACCCCTGACTCACACTAGGCCGAGGGATGCGGCTGCCTCGCGCTAGTATGATTCAGGGTACAGACAAACAGCGGCACAGAAGGGAGAAGACAGAAGAGAAGTTGCAGTTTTAATGCAGTTCTGTTTTTTGCAGTAAGATCTAAGACGTATTTCTAAAGAAAAAGACACTGACGATTATGTCGTGCCCCGGGTCATAACTGTTTCCACACACTTTCTTGATTGTGCTGGAGTACACTAAGGCTTACACTTCAGTGAAATGATTTCTTTGCACAAGCTAAAAATGGGGATTTACCAACTCTCTACAGAACAGTTCAAAAACCTCTCAAACAAGACAGAGAAGAAATAAGCAACAAAAGATAGGACCTGAACATTGATTCAGAATTTTTGCTCCAGATCAAATCAACCAGTAACATAAATGAAAAACCCCACAGCTCGCTAAAAAGGAAATTACAAGATTAATACAGCTGAGGTAAAAATCAAGACACAAACCAAAGAACAGTGATACCGTTAAAATCAACTGATATTTTTCAATAATGTTGTTTGCAATGAAGTGTAATCAGGTTACACCATGAGGTTTAACACATGACATTCAGTTTTGTATCACAGAAATATACACATACACACACACATACATGGAAGACACACTAAATTTATGAGGAATATTTTCAAAACAGTATCGCAATTTCATTCCACGGATATGGGTATTTTGGGAGACAGCATAAGAAGAAAGTGAAAGAGAGGAGAATAGCAGATTAGGAAAAGAACAACTACTGCATTCTGACAGAAAAAAAAATTCAGTTTAACATTTGAAACTGGCTTGTATATTAAACAGTAGCCTCAAAAAACGAGTGCATTTTAGATTTTTATCAATATATATTCTAATGTTATCACCCACCTATAACTAAACTCCAGGGGTAGATATCCAGCACTTAGATTTAAAAAGGCTATAAAGAAACCAAGAGTCAACAATTCTTACCTACTGACAACCTGGAAGGACTAGCTTCTCTACTGCATCCCTGACTTCGTGGGATTTTGCTTCGTTTTTGCACAGTTGCAGGATTCACTAACACTCTCTGAACTCCCGTGTTCATAGTGGAAAGCGTGGTTGTTGTCAAAACTCTTCCAGGAGACCCAGACCTACTGCCAGCTGAAGGCAAAACAAGTAAGTGTAAGTCACAGCATAGAAGAACCATAGTTTAAAAAAAGAAAAACAATGCTTGAAGTTAGTAGTAACATGGTGGTAGATTGAAATGGTCTGGAAAAACTCACAAGGTAAAAATGTGAAACAAAAAACCCTAGTCCAAGTTCTTACAGCACTACGTACAAGGCAGATAAAATTCTCAATGCGATGAAGCATTCGGCATGGTATTTAGCACAAGAAACCAAAAATAATACTTGTAGCCTTCAACAACCATTACAGCATCACTAACATGATGTTCATTTTTTAAGCTACATGGTTTCACTTATCACATTTGCTACTCAAAAATAAGAAACACCCAAAACTCTAACCTGCTAGAAAGCTAAGGGGAGCAATTTTAAACTAGTGATTTCATAATTATCTCTTCCAATGTAACTAATGTTATAATAAAATAACATAATTTTCCTAACATTTAAACTCTTCTCCTTTGCTTTTAAAAGCATAGGGTCTTCAAGCACTATTATCTGAGAAGCTGAATGAAAAGATCACTGAACACAATTTAAATACTCATGTTCATTTATGTGGAGGTTACCCCACAAATTCCAAGAAGATCTTTGAGTAGTTTTAAACTAGTTACAAATTTGATCAAGACATATTTAATTTTTATTAATCCAGACCATACATTATGAAGGGCTATAAATGTCCAACATACTGTACTATCAGAAACTGGTCACTAATTTTGATCTTTTGATCACAGAAAATTTAAGTTCTAACCCCTAACAAAGCATCAATTCTTCTCTAGTTATAACCAATTTATACGACCAGTTGATATCAATATATTGTTTCCAGCTGTAAAATTCAAGCAGTCTGACCAAGGAGAGAAATAAAAGATAATTTCAACTAAACCTTAATCACATAGAGATACAAACCTTTCATTAATCTTCTAAAAATCATCAGGTAACTGCATGAGCACAGCTACACTATCACATCTATGGACTTAACATGCAACATCTTGAATGAGTTTCATAGGTGACTTCTTATGAGGCACATTGAAAAAAAGATTCAAGTTGATTACAGCTTCACTATACGAGAAGAGAAACAAAACCCCAAACAGAACAAAACATATGCTGGGTGGAAGGGAGAAAACTGAAACAATGTACCATGCATATACTTTCAGATTCATTGTTTGAGTTCAAACTTGAAATGATTATTTAGCAAAATCCCTTTTCCAAATGATGGACCTATTCAGCAGAAATGATAAAATAAAATATTACACAGCCTGGAAAAACAAGTGTAACTTCTACAGGGAAAAAAAAAAAAAAGCAAACTCAGACAATTGCTGTAGTCTGAAAAACATAAGGGTTTAGCAGTTTCTTCATATTAGGGCATTTCAGCTCAGACCTGATATTAATATGCCTTCGTGCCTCTGATATTTTATTTCTTTAAAACAATGAAGACTTTGGGAAAGGTTTCACTATGCTGGAAACCTAAGATTTTCATCAATAGTTCAGAAACCTGAAAAAGTTACTCTTCTCAGAATATACAGAAGAAACGAACCTTTCATTATAATACCTTATTCATCTTTCTGTTGTCTGACCTGCAAAGCATACAACTACAGGGTAAAAAAACCCAAACAAACCACAAATGAAGTTCAATATCCTGATAATACTTAGGCTGGTCACAGTACTGGCACACTGGTGTCAGTAGTACCACCAGCAGCAGATCTAAGCAAACTGACTGCTGCAAGAAAGACAAATGAAATCAGTATTCCAAAAATTACAAATCCCTCCCCTGCCTTCTAAATTAACGATTGCATCCAATTAGGTGAGCGCAGCACGTGAGAAAAAGCAAAGCGCGCGTTTCTGCTGAATAGGGTCCTTCAATGAGATATGTAGAACAGGCGATCAAACAATGATGTATAACACAAATTCCGTAGACTCTTACCACCGATGGGGTTAGCAGACTGTGATCCTGAATAAGTGTAAAGGCAGGATTAGGGTAGGGGTTTATAGTCCATGAAGAGGGAGGGAGCAGAGCAGATTAAAAAATGGATGGCAAATGGAAATAAGAAAGCTTTAGTCATTTCACACAGGGGAGGAGAGGAAAAAAAAAAGCAAGCCATGAAGGGGTTAAGCTAGAGCAGTGCTTTTAAGTAGCTTCCAAGGTCGAAGAACTCAACTCAGATGCTATTATGTACAAAGCAGATGAAGCCAAGCTGCACAAGCAAATTACAATTCTTCAGCTTTCTAATCAACAACCGGATAACACTGAAGAATTACATTTCAATTAAAAATGAAACTGTAGCCATCATAATACTTTAAAATAGTATTGCCAAAAAGGTTCATAAAGTTCAACAGCTGAACAAAAATTGCACACAAGGCCAAAACATTTTTTTTTTGAGACAGACAGTAAAGGAACTGAGCTGCAGGTGCAGTGGATGACTAAAAATAAAATCACAATGGCACAACTGAAAAGACTTGCATAGAATTTCAGGTTTTCCTCTTCAAAATTAATCTGAAGTATAAAAGTCAGAATTTGTTTCCATTTAGAAGTTTAATTCTTTTTCTCTGAATGAAGACTGTAATTTCATTTTAGTACAACCTGCTGAATCACCTGACAACCAAACAGGGAGAGGAAAAAATGGAACTTTTTTTTCCATAGATAAGAATAAAATAATGAGCTACAGATTGTACATGTATTTAATTTATGTTACAATTTAAAAACAGAAGAGGAAGAGTAAAGGGCTTCTAAAACCCTAAAAAATCACCTTTTGTAAAAGCATTCAAATTTGCAAGTCTTTCATAAAATGATCCTCGAACAAAAGTGCTAAACAGTTGTAACCCTAAATTTCCAAAAGCATCTGTGTTACAGTGGCTTTCAAATAATAAAATCTTAAATCAAATATGAAGCTACTTTCCCACTACAAGCTGGGGAACTAAAACAATTCCCCATATAGAAACACCCGAGCATGTCGCTCCCCACAACGTCATGAAAATTTTAAGTCACATAAAGAAGCATCAGCGGGTGTACAGCGACTGACAATTCTGCGCCTGTCCATTTGTGTTTGCCCAGTTTATCTTCCTTAAAACATCTCAGAATTCTTGTTCTCCCCCACTGACAGGTTCTAACAAGCTATCTGGAGCCATGAGCTCTGAACACAAGTAGTAATAAAAGGCTGTAAAGATGTGCTCATGCGTTTAATGTTCACACATCATCATGCATAGACAAATCTAGTTATTTCAATATCAGTTCAACTTATCTGTTTAGACAGTTAATACTGTGCAAAAATGAATTCTCTTGAAAAAAACTGTCATTTTGTTTGTTGCCCCAAATATACATGTCAGTTTAATTAATATTAGATGACAATGACAGTCACAGAAATCTATTGCTACCTAAATTTAACCTCTTCCCTAAACAGTTTATTAAACACCTTAACTTCTAAAGAATTTACTGAATCTATTCAAAGTACAAAAGTATTTTCAAAAAGCTTATTTCAGAATTTTCTTACTACTAATGAAGAAACTGTTACAGATACTGCTTAATTTTTTTTGTAAAGCGTTTTGTTGAGACTGCTATCTCTATGTCACCTCCCTAAATTACTAACCCAAATATTCTTTGCCTATAAAATTAAGTGTAGTCATCTTAACAATGAAAACGTAAAACCAATTTTGCACAACTTTTGTCACAGTCAATAACCAAACTTTATTTTCAAACTCTCATCCAACAAACATATGGGATTAGAGCACTGTCAACACAAAAATGACTTTAGAGAACTGCTGTTGTTGGATTTTATCATTTTATATTTTTCTATTCAGATTGTTTTGAAAGTTTTATTTCACAAAACCTGTAAGCATTGGATCAGGTTTTGTGCAACTGTATTTGCTAGAAAACGAAGTAATGCAAAACTGAATGTGAAGTACTCCATGAGAAAACACAAACACCTCATTTTTTTGGTGTTTTTTTAACATCTAAAGTCATTTCATTTATGATAAATGTACTCATTACCATGTAAAAAAAGTTTTCTGTTATTAAGGAGATAATTATGGGGGTTTATTAAACAAAGTGGATATGGTCACTGATAGCAAAACAACTGTACTGGAAAATTCAAACTCTGTCTAATTTACTGGGTTTACAACAAACTATAGGATTGATTAGTTTAATTTTATTGTTAATTTGACTTCCTTTCCTTGAATTAATTGGATTTCATTTAATTAGACCAAGGTAAGAACCTGAATACACTACAGAGCATAATCAGAAGAGGTCTGTCCGAGACATAAGATGTGTGAACAACTTGCTGCAGGTCAGCCCCTGCCAAAGAACATGAGGTAATCATGTTCTTATTAGCAACAGAGTGCTCAGCTAGACTGGAAATTTTGCATTTGCTTTGATTTCTAAATAGAGGCAGAAAATTACTTAGGATTAGCTGACATACAGCAAATTGATTATTTTGATTCAATACAAGCTAAGTAACTAATTATAAAGTTAGGGTTTAGTATTTTTACTCCAAGAAGAGAGTTAAATAAAGCCAACAGCCATAATACAACAACAACAACAACAACAAAAGAGAATACATCCAAGAGCTAGAGTAGTGCCTAGCTTGAAGTGAAAATAGGTATTTCTGGCTGAAAAATAAGACTTTCTGACAAATGAAAAATTAAGTTTTGCAGGTAATGCTGAGAACACCAATCAGCCTGCCTATTTTTCTGTATTACTCAACCATGTGTCATATGTAACTGACACACAAGTTTACTCGTGTTTTGTGTCTGGAAGGTCAGAAAGGGGGGGAAAAGAATGTTGAGAAGTTGTAATTCAAGACAGAATTTAAGGGTAGATTTCATTTCCTGTTGCACTATGTAATTTAATTGGCAAACTAAGACCTAATCTAGCATATTGTCCAGAGAAAAACAACACGAATTGGAAAAGCATGCAAATACCACTGACCCAAAACACTGAAAAAAATACCTTCGTTTTTGTCTGGCGATGATGAACCTAAGGCACAGAACAACAACTCAGTATGCAGCTTTATTTTTTTAAAATTAACTTTGACTGTAGCCATTGGTCAAGGAATATATGCTTAAGCATTTGGCCTCTTTATCAGGTATAACTGACAAACAGAAAATACATACGCTGAGATTGCGACACCACTTTGGTTCTACTACGTCCTCTGGAATCCGTTTTGGAATTTCCAATACCAACAGAAGGTGTTGAAAGCTTTGTTCGTATACGACCTATAAAAGAAAAATGGCACTCAATCAGCTTTTCACAGTAGTGTAGAAAGCAAAGTCTCACTAGCTTTTACTAATATTTTTTTAAGTTTCTGTAGATAAAAAAGCAGCATAACATAACACAATTGGTGAAAAATCGCTTGGGATAATTAGTAGAAATTTGAACACCTTGAAGGACTTGATTAAGTGAGGAACCAAAATACTCCTCCTCAGATGGTACTTGTTTCAGTAAACAATCTACACATTATCATTTAAACACCCTAGCCTAGCTAGCTAGTTCTGTCTTCCCGCGTGTTAGGCTAAAAAAAGCTAATTTTGCTAAATATAATAGGCAACGTGTACAGTAATGTTGCTGTACCAGGTCCAGTCTTCTCATGATTTCTTGTGGTCCTAACTCTACTTTTGCTGTCATAAACCCACAAAAGTTATGTTGCCTATTTTTTTATAAGAGCTCTGATGTTTTGTCCTAACTTGACTCCTCTTTTTAGAAATCTAAGTGCTAGCTTTCCTATGACTGAAGATGCTAGTGTTTTCCTGGCCACAGTCATATAGACTTCTACAGGATTTCCCAAGCCTTTTACAGCATTTCGGAAAAATTAAGCATACTTAAGTACTTCTCAGTGGCAACACGACAGAAGGAAATACTACTCTCCTCAACAGATAGAACTGAAGACATGGATTTAACTGACACTACAGATTTTGCTGCTCACTAAAATGTCAAACTATCTTGGGTTAGGGTTAAAGCTTTCTGCATTATTAGCCATGCTCCTCCTAACATCTAGAGTATACAGTGAGATTACAGAAGAAAGGAAGACCCCAGTTGGATGAATTACAGGTATCTGAAAGATTTTTCATAAAAGAAAATAGCAGAGCTGCGTACCACATTTCTTAAAGTGACCTCTCAATCAACAGAATGAAACAAAACTCAAAACATTGTTAACCTTAATTCTTGTGAGTTGCAAGAACAAACCCCCAAAAGCTTGTACAGGGTTAACCTAGCTCAACAAGCAATTCACTTTTAAAAACAGCATAATTAAAAGATTTTCTAGACATGCAGACTCAGTATTTGACCCAGAAGAATTAGGTAACAGGCTGCTATTTAGCTCTAGCCTCTTTAGGCTTTCCACAGCTGAATTTTCAGATGGAGTAAGTTAATATTATTCATCCAAGTAGAGGGAATAGCCATAGATGAGAGTCTACAAGAAGAGAATCAGGATAAAGGAGGTTATTTCACTAAACTATTAGAAAACAGTATGCTATAGCAAGAACAGTTAGATTAACTAGTCCAAACTCTACTAGTTATCCCTGTGCAATGGCAATGCTTTCCCACTGAGTGCAGCAAGACATGTAACCACGTTCAGAATTTGGCCCAAAAACTTAGGAATACAGAGTGCCACTATTGCAATACTGTGTTAAGATTACCATTTGAAACCTCGTTCAATTTTGTCAAAAAATAGGCAAAAAATAGTTTGCATTTGTCAGGCAAATTAACTGCTAACCCTCTTAAAGTCTCTATATCCATCCACTAATGACTAGTTTTACATGTTAATAATATATTGAAAATGAATTCCCAAACTCAGAGGGGTAATAGTAGCACCTGCTTCCCAGAGCATGAACACATATGATGAAATACCCTGTGGCAAGATTCGCTTTAAAAAACAAATGCAAAATTAGAAAGGCCCTGTACTTCCACACTAAAAATGTTAAGCAATGATAATTCTACTGCAGATGAGTATTGAGAATTTAAAAAAAAGCACAAGAATTTTTAAAATACCACATGACAACCAAGTATTAGACGCGTAAGCTATCAGGAGTTACGAATATCCACAAAGCCCCCAAAAGACCACATTCTACTTTTAAATCTTTATTTGCAGCAATGAAAATATGAAGCTGAAAATATTAGCTATTCTAACAAAATGTTTTCTTACCATCTTCAGAAGCTGTTCCTAAATAGAAAAAATAATAAAATAAATGATATTCCAAACAACACTGTGTCTCTCCACTTCCTTTTTGAGATTTATCTTATGATTCTTGACAAATTTTATCGAGTCAAGAGATATAAAGCTTTTGTGTTGCAACTTCATAACTGAACTGAAGCAAAATTATCAAGAAACATTGACACTATACTGTTAGTGATTAACAAGAACACAATATACAGGGCTGCCTTCCAAACTGTTAAACCACAAAAAAACCCAAAAATCCATAGAAAAAACCCTCTGTAAGTCAGCAAAATGGCATATACAGATCACAATAGATATGAAAAATATTTCAGTGCAAGCTCTTCTAAAAACATAAAACATGCTATTATAAATTATTTCAGAAAGAAACCCCAAGGACAGTGTTTCTCACACCGGACAGTGAAAAGTTGATAGGAACTGCCAACAAGGAGGACTTCTCTGAATTTGATCTGTGATTACTCTGAAGATCTACGTGCAGAAGATCAAATTTTGCTTCAGAGAAGCAGAAGTAATATGAGCTTGCTGAAAGCAGATCACACTTGAACAAGTATGCCACACTTAACAAGGCTTGATTACAACCAAATGAGAGTCGGACAAATGTTTTTACTGACATTGGTACCAGGAATTTATGGGGAAGCTATATAAACAGCAGTCCTTCCTCTAAGTTCTCTTGAAACAAATCTGATTACTGAGTCAAAAAAAAAAAAGTCAAATGCCTCAAAAAACCCAAGGAGTATTTCCATTTTCACGCTCTGCCATTTCTGCCTTTTAAGAGGACAATGATTAAATCTGCTGCAAGTGCCTTTGGCTAGCCTGACCTTTTAAGCAAATCTCACTCTGGCTTTCTCATATTATGCTATCTTAAAGGCACTATTTTTTTTAAATAAGCCCTTCTAAAAATTTAATCCAGTGTAAACCCCAATGCTTCTTCACAAAAATCAATTACAGTAATAAATACATAGGAGTGCCTCAAAGTTTTCCAGATCAAATTTGCCAGCCTGTATAGAAAAAACAACCAAACAAAAAAAACCCCAAACAACAGCCAAACCCTAAACTATTCCCTGAACTCAGAATTATTCCAGAGCTGGATGTTGCAACGCAGGTTCTATGCAACATCTAATCCAGGATAAAGGATTGCTGCTTCTGAAAGGGGTGGTTCTCCTTCTCCTTTCTCTCCAGCCTTGTGCTACCACGTGGTTCGGATGGCTAATGGCTCGCTGTCAGTTCCAACTGCTAAATAACAGAACACTATTTGCTTCTGGTTTATGAAATCAGTTTTCTAGTGTTGACCGATAATGGAGTATCACAAGGCATTAGTGACAGAAGCGGTAAAACCACGTGGCCAAGATTAGTGGGAAAAGGAAAAACCATTAGTTCCCCTGGTGATGGTTAGATCAGAGCAGCAGTATCATATAACTACAGTGGAAGAGCTAAGCTGTGTTCACTGTGTCTTGCACACCATCCCTACAGACATCCTCTAGAAAAAAGCCAACAATGTTATTTTGACCAGTTGTGTAGCATTCTCTCCTACTATTTTTAGTTGTTATTTATTAGTTGTGACTACTGGTCTGAACACACAGCCCTAAGAACCTTTATTGCTGGTTATCATGTGTAAAAGCTCAAGACTGTTTAGCATCGACAGTTATAAATAAATCCTATTACATGCAGCATAAGGAAATCTGATATGGAAATAAGTGAGACAGACACTATTACTCTGCACAAACGCCACTCATTTCATTAACGTCCGCTTGCATCTGCACTGCTCAAAAATAGCTCAAATTCCTCCAAAAAGTCTCTCATGAAACTGACTATCTGTGGTTTAAAATGATCAAGGGTTCTGAGTTTCAGAGATCATTGTCTTCATTTCTATTAAAAATACTCCCTGCTTCGAGTAAACTACTCATTCTTTGAAACATGTCCTGTTAATAAACACGACAACAATGTAGCTAGACTAGGTTTTGACAGAATACTTTTGGAAGAGAAGATTTTAGTTTGTCGTAAGTTTTTTAAAATGCTTAATGTGGTCAAGCATCTTCTGCTCTCTCATTGCTGTTATGCAAAGAAGTCAGAAATTTTTATTTTATATGTAAAACTATGAAACACAACAGAACTGGAGCTAGTTAAAAAAAAAAACAAGTATCAATTACAGAATTGCTCTGTAATTAATAGTTCGTAAAAATTAGGGGTATTTTGTAATAAAGGTTCTTTTGCTGATACAGATCAATAATCAAAAACATTGACAAATACAGCACTAACAACATATTAGGACACTGAGATTACACAAGGGTTAATGAAAACAGCATAGTATTTTGTTAATGAACAAATATATTAAACATCAATAATTTTACATAAAAGACTATTAAATATTTACTAGAATTAAGAGGATAGACTAAACAATTTCTTACCATCCATCTTGTCAGAAGTATCCTCTTTGTTGAAAAAGCAGGCAAAGAAACATGGAAAACTTAGTGTGTTAGAATAAAGGTGTTCACGGCAGAGTCATAAAACATTAATTAAGGAAAATACATTAATATTAAATACAGCAGACATGTTTATCTAATTCATGCATGTATAAACTACCTTAAGTCAAGTTGGTTTCTCTCAGTCCAAGGTATAAAATGACAGAATAGTGTACAAATACTCAGCACAGGTACTTGTGCAGTACTGCAGATTTGAGCAAACCCTCACTGTAGAATATTTAGCAACTCTTTCATGCTTGGCATCAACAGTTACTGAAGCATCATACATATTTGTATCATTACTGCACCATAATATTTCTATTTCTTACTGCATAAGCTACTGAGCATGAAGGCCCACCTAGGATAAGGGACAGGAGGGGAAAAAGACATCACAAGAAAGAGAACAAACGGGAGAAAGTTCCACTCTAGTTTAAAAGCATTAAAGATTTAACAGTTTAGCTGCAAGGCAGTGCATACATATTCTGACAGTAACAATCAAAATTAAAATATTTAGCGTGAGACATATTAGAGCTCAAAGTCTCCTCAAAGGGGCATCAATACTTAAGGACGTCACAGACAGTCAACATTTAGAATAACTGAAGTAGAGAATGTCCTCATGCTTCTAGAACGGTCTTTAAAAACACAAAACAATCATAAACACCCAAGTAAGAGTTCTATTAATAATAAAAAGAGATGAGTGGTGACAATTTTAGATTACTACGCTCATGAACTTGTGATCCTCTGAGGCTCTACATCTGGCAGCTGTTTAAGCAAAAGGTGGATGCTTCTCCTTAAGTGTGAAAATTAAAATAAACTGAAGCTCCAGATGGGACAAATGTTATTTATTTTGGTATTGACTGCAACACCTGAGAAGACAGGGAAAGTATTATGGAAAATACAGTAGCATCTTCTAGGCATGTTAGTACCACGGTAAGCATTACCTTGACAGCTGTCACATTTGGATTTACTATAAACAACTCCCTTTAAACAAGCAGAGGGGAGAAGTTTAGAAATCAGCCCATTTTCTGAAACAGAGAACTTGCTTGAATTCATGCTTCACTCATCTTAAAACTCACAGCAAACAATATTTTGAGGTGGATTCAATGACAAACACACACCAGTCACTCTCCACATGGGTAAGAGGTGACAGATTATTAAAAATCTATTAGGAGAATGAGCCAAGATCAATCAAGTGGCACTGCTCTGGTGTAACTGCAAACAAACCTTAGTCACCTTCACTATCGTTCCCTTAGATCATCTGTAATAGATTTAACTTCGCTACACACTGCTCGTAATACATCTTAGTGCCATTTCAGACCACCACTGTACTTTTCTCCCCAAGTGACTGCAGCTGCTAGCAAGGCAAAGCTTTCCAGCTACCCAAATCCTTCGGAAGAATGCAACTTGGATTTATCACCTGTTTATTCCTCTCTGCCACCCCGACTCAGCAAACTTATAAACTACACAAGAGAATCAAATATTTATTTTGTCGTCTTTTCCTGCGTACAACCACTGCTATTTACTTCCCTGAAAACCTCTGTGCCCTTCTCAACCCTCGCTTACAAAGTTCTGGGCATGAATCATATATTAAAATGTTTTGAAAGGAAAGCAACGCTCCAATTGAGAGTTAATTTTATGTGAACCTCTAAAGACTCAAGTAATCCATTTCAGCAGATAAACAGATTTCTCTCTTTGGTTGCTGTTTGACTTTTCTTTTTCCCCTTCTATCACCATGCTCTGACACAGTGCCACTTTTACTTCTCTCAATAGCTGAACTCCAGCCTTGAGATTCAGACCATGTCCTGTTGCACACTAAAACCGATGAGGCAACACTCTGATCTCCGAGGACAATCATCCCACCAATTTCAGGCTTTTAGGCAGTACATTAGGAGAAACTGAGAATTCATCAAACAATGACCACAAGCTATCTCCTCCACTGAGCCAACTGAGCAGCCCACCTTTGGTGTCCACTCGCTGTGGGCACTAGAGGGAGCCCACTCCCCACGTCACTATTTCAGGCAAGTACTCCTTTTAGTCAGCACTGTTCACTCAGTAACTTAATCCTAAAATCAACGGTATTCAAAGCATTTCACGTAGGTCCTGATGACAAAAGCATCAACTCATTTAAAAGTGGTTTTAGCTTAAATTTTAACCTAGAAAAGGACAGCCAAAACCATTGAGAAACCATAGCCTAGGTGTATCCTAACAAGCTAAAGCAGAGCTACAGAGTTTCACTGCCTCCCTTGTGATCATTTTCAGCAATACCAGTATCAGGACAGGCCTCCTCACTTAGTGGAGGTTCTAGCATCTACCATCACTATCAAATATTTTTCTCCACTTTTGTCACTTGCACCACTCTCTCTGTCTAATAGCAAGCATTCCTGTTAATGAAGACTGCCACCTAGGTAACAAAATACACCTAGTTGAATCAACACACTTAGGAAGAAATCTATGAAACATATGTTGTTTATTATTGCACAAAACACTCTGTATTATGTGAAGAAGCCACCACTTACTGCTGGGATGTCTCTTCAGCAATGCTGTAAAATAGCTAGCTAAAGAGTTGAGAAAAACAGAAAAAGCAAGAGTCCTAAAGGTCACTTCCCTATTACCTCTAGAAACAAAGAAGCCATGATCACCACCTGCTGGTAAGCTAACGTTCCACTCCATCCAATATTTAATATTCAATCCTGATAAACACATTTGAAGCGTACAGTATGGACACATTCTGTGCATAAGCACTCTGCAGCACAATATAAAACATCCAGCAAAGCCACTGACTTCAGAACACCTGCTCTTCTGCAATACTCAATACTACTAAAAATGACAATTTTTCACACGACGAAGTATTTTCCCGTGAGGTTTTCATCAAAAACCCTCCAAAAAATATTTCACAGTATTGTTAAGAAATTTCCTTTACCTAGTGAAGCGTAAGATCCTGGAGGCAGACCAGCTGCTGACAAGCGCCCAGCTCCAGCTGTCTGTCCAGCAGCATGGCGGGCCTTCGCTCCAGCAGCAGCGTTAACGTCAATGTCACTGCGAGACCTTTGCAGAGCTCCTGGGCTTGGCACACTCTTGCTGCTGCCTGAAACTAGGCAAAAAATTAGGATCTTAGTTGTTAATGAAGAAAACAGTTTAAAAAGATGTTTTGTACTGCTGCAGCGTACCTGCAAAAAGTACAGGAAATTATTTACCTGAGTTGCCATGGAACTCACATAAAGAACAGTTTATCTTACAGTAGTATTTATCTTCATTCAGCATGAAACCTTAGCATTATTTAATAAAAACTGTGTGCTCCCACCCTAGTGCAAATTCCATGATTCTGAAGGTTTATGGGATTTGTTACATTACGGACTGCTTCACAAACCTAAGAAATCCTCAGCGTTCCTTGTGATACTGAGGGAAGATAATATTCCCACACTAGAGCTAAGACACCACTACAAGCAAGCTGAAGGCATACCTGGAATTGCTCTAGGGTCTAATCTTCTGTAAAGTATTTTTATATTTACCTCCTATTATTCACTGAATATTAACTATTTGCTTCAGTTCATTTCAACCATTGGATTATGTCTTCAAAGCTTGACTCCCTCTTGACAACTTCAGCATTGAGAAAACAAGCATTCTCAATTCTTGGGCACTTGTAAAAAGGAGTTCAAAATTTTACTCCGCAAGAATTACAAAGACATTATAACAAAAGAAAACAAAGATATTAAATTCTGAAAACACAAGACAAAATTAAACTCTTTGAATTACAGATCTGTGGGTTTGGGGTGGTTTTTTTGTTTTTGTTTTGGTTCAGTTTCTTTTTTTCATAAAGAGGAGCTGGTTAGCTCAGTGGTTTGAGCAGCGGAGGACCAACACCGAGGTCATGGGTTCGATTCCCGCTCGGTCCCCATGTGTTGCCAGGTCTAGTTGAGAGGTGGCGTCCCCGCCCAAAACAGGGAGGTTGGACTAGATGATCTCTAAGGTCCCTTCCAGCCTAGGCCATTCTATGATTCTATGATGATCTACACAGCAATGGAAGAAACGTGTAAGTTCTTCATTTCTAATTGCCGTGAGACTAATCATCTTGAACAGACCATAGAATAATGTTTTGTTTCTTTGAGAGTGACTCTTCCATGACAAAGCTCCAAAATAGATTATCAGTTAGTGCCAATACATGCAAACTAGTTCTTATACTTGCAACAACTGAAAATATTTAATCCATGAAGCGAGTATGAGGCAGTCACATCTCCAGGTGCAGGTTGTGCAGATACAGACTATTTTTCAATGCGGAAACAAGATAAGTGCCTAAGACAGTAAAATTTTAAGCTGCATTTAAAACTTTTAATTCAAAGAACATGAAAAACAATTACTGTGCACTGCACTATGCTGCAATCACCTTACCTCTGCCTGCAAGGCTTGCTGGGCTGGCTGCAGACCACTTAGAAGAAAAAGGTCGACTGGAAAAAAAAGGTCAATAAACCCAGTAAGTCTCATGTATCAGATGTAACAGGAAAAAATAAGAAAAAAATTTTTTAAAAAAATCTTCAGTTCTTTTCTCCCCTTGAACCTTCTCATATTTTAGAGAAACAGTTTAAATACAGAATGATAAAAAAAAACTATAATCATCTTTTACATTTGATAAAATTACATCTTCACCACAAAGCACTAATGCTCTAGTTACTGCACACTTCACTAACACAAAGCTCAAGCATGCCAGACATGGTCACAGAAATATTTAAGGTGGTCAGCATAAGGTTTTAACCACAGGGCTGATCTTACAAATCAGTCGTCAAACAAATATAGCAAAACACAATAAAAGATTTTTTTATTAAAAAATAAAATAAAATTCAAAGTGACAAAATATAACTGCAGTTTGTCTGTAGATCACAAAAGTCTGGATCATTTGCTTTTGAGAAACAGGTTTTACATGCTTATAAAAAGAGTTCAGGAGTTAAATGACCCTTACTTGAGGCTCTCCTGTGAGCTGGAGGATGACCTGTCTGACTGAGGGAGAGATGCTATACTGCCAGAATTCTTCAAGTAGGTCTGGAGGCTTCTTTGATAAGGCGGCTCAAGAGAATTGTACAGAGTCTCAGCTTCACTAGGAAAGTGATTTCTAAGACCCAGATAAGCCCTGCAAAATAAGGGAATAACCACATGTAAATGTTCTGTATTTTGTGGAAACTCTGGAATCAGGAAGCAAAGGTTACAGAACAAACCAAGGATGGAAGGGAAAGGAAGTGAAGATATGTCATGCACACAATACTGCTCAGCGAATCGTAAAAGAAACCAGCTACACTGACTGAACACATCTGTTCCAAATAACTGAAGTCTATCCTCTGAAATTCTGACATTTACTCACCCGTTCTGTGGGGAAGCAATACTTTTCCAGCCTACTCACTAGTCAGAGTGCTGCAGTTTGTTTAATGACTTAATTAATAGGGGTGAAAAAAAGAATTATTATGCAGCAATCCTTTATGGCTGCTGTTTCAGCAGAACCCTTAAACGCTGCACAACAGTATTAAATACATCGGCTTTCAGAATGTCTTTTGAAAAAGAAATTAGGTATTAATTCAGGACTTTGAAACAGAAATATTAATATGCAACCTAACTAGAGTCCTCCTCTTCAGCCGTAGCTAGCTGCTCATGTCCAGTGACAGCCTTCCATCACTCAGGTAAAACATACCATTTTTCAGAGCAAAATGTAGTCAAAACTCACTTTCTTGCCTCCACTCTTGCTTCTGCATCAGCATCATGAATGCCCTTTTTGATTGTTTCAACTAGGACAGCGGCATGCCTAGAAGAAAGACTTCGTGCATTACATTTTGCTACTCCAAATTCTGCTTTAAGTAGTAGTTTTACACTTTAACTAACATTTCTCTAAGTAAAAAAAACAGCTGAGATTGTAGCTCTAAGTAAACAAATGCCTAAGCATACTGATGACACAATTGCACCTTCTGTAAAAGTTCAGGTAAGATTCCTCATTAAATCTAAAAGAATTATAATCTACTTTTCAGATATAGATCCACCTATAGCACTCAAAAAGCTATTTAAAAATACTTGGTTTTAAGACACCTACTTTCCTGAAATGGGAAAACTAGTTCTCCTAGTATATTAAGAGTAACGAAAAAGTTAACATTAGTAAATTTGCTTTCCTGGAAATTCACCTCTGAAAGCTTTTGGCACATGAGTTGTAAACCTAAACACATGCTCAAAGAACAGTAAAAACCCCATCAGAACAACGAAAAATTGAGACTAAATAGATTTAAATTCAAGACATGTTGGGGTTTGGGGTTTGTTTGTTTGGGGGATGTGGTGATGTTGTTTTGGGCTGGTTTTTTGGAGTATGGTTTTGTTTTTTAAATATACACACACTTTGACATAAAGCAATCGGTCTCCCCATGGCTCCCTTTCTCAGGACCACCCGCAGGGGTTGAAAGGTGGTTCTGGAGCTGGATAAGCTCTTTAGAGCCTTCTCATGACGCCCTGTAGTCCCTTTGCTCTCACTCTGTGCTTACAGCACACGCTCTCCACAGCTGATACATGTACTATTCTCTTACCCACCCAGAGAAGCTGCAGAGTGTTCTTAACCATCACCAGAAAAAGTCCTCCAGCCTAATCCCACTTGGCGATCCCCCTCTCTTATGGCGAACACACACATTTCCTGCTTTCAGGAGAAAGGACTGATCCTTACCTGTGCACCTTTGCTGCACAGGATAAAAGACAGAAGTGAAACTCTGAGAAAGCACATTGCCTCTGAGGCTCACATTGTGTTGCCTCTCCTCGTGTACCCAAAGTCAAGGCTGAAGCACACAGCCCTGTCTTTCCTCGGCACTTGAATAAGCCACATGACCTACCGTGCTAGAGAGCTTGGCCAATTCTGAGCAACATAATCCAATTAAAGGATTCAGTGAAAAGATTTGTGTCTTAAAATCCATTAGCTGTTTATTTTCAGGGAAAAAAAAAATTCACTGGCCCATACCTTTCCAAAGAATGCGTTTGCCACTCTTGTAATAACAGGTCTAAAAATTCAAAGGAGCGCCTAAAAAGACCGAACCAAAAAAGTTATAATTAATACTCATTTCTCTAATGTGCTTGCAGAATAAACAGCAACTTTATTATTTGCCCCTGAGGGAAACGAATACACAAAACTACATTTATCGTTCAAGTAAGGACATTGGTCGCCTTATTGCAAAGTTAAAATACTCTGTATAGAAAGGAAGCATGCAGCTAAGTTAGCCTAAACTTCAAAAAAAATAGATGTGGTTCAATTAACCATCTGTTCTCAAGTCCTGCTATTACACATTACTTATATTAGCCTCGAAGTAACAGCTAATAATCAAGAAGTTTAAAAACTCTACAAAGTATATTAAAAAAAATAATCAATACTTAATAGCTGAATTTTTAAGTCACAACATGCTATACTTCATGGCAGCGTACTTCTGTTCCAAACGCCATTCTTATCCTTTCACCTGTCATTACAGAGCACGTAGCATACAGAGACCATTAGTTCAGGGCTCTGCATACAGAAGGCACTCCTAAGGGTTTGCTAGCACTGCAGAAGCGAAGTTACATAACCTTGTTCATTATTAACTCTGAGTTCTTGACTTTTTAGCAGACAGCCATTAGCAAAAGGCATACTTTTAAACATGTCTGAAGCTAGATCTTGCTGAACAAATCAAAGCAACATGGACTAGCAAGATGAAGATAAGTCTTCAAAAAGGCAGTGGACTTTATTGCTGGGAATTTTTTTTCTGGTTATTTTGCAACTTTGACCTGTTCTTGAGTGGCAGATTTCATTTTTATTCTGCCCAAACCCTTTGAACACTCACAAGGCACGGGAAGAAACCCTGTAAGGATTTTCACCATTGTAACCAACCCAGTTTTTCGTTGTCTTTCCAAAGGAATTAAGTCAGCATGAAAACAATGCAATTTTGGCAATATTTACTGCTGGATTATGAATTGCACTACTAAAGTGACCTACAATTCAACACTCCTCAGCAAAGCTGTGGTTAAGTGGAGGCACTGAGGCCCTGGGAATTGTTTCACAGAATAATACCGTGTACATCCCCCCATGTAGCAGAAAGTACTGTTTCTCAACATCACCCCATGTAACTTTCCTGAAATTAATTTCTGTAGTTTCTTGAATAAAATAATTTTGTGTATTTAAGAGTTAGTGACCATAAATGTTCAAATTTGGGGTTTCTTCCAACTTGTGATTGAACAATTTGCTATTTTCATATACTCACCTCCTAACTGCAACTGATTTTGAGGTACAGTTGCTTGTTATTAAAGGTATGAGTCGTGGCACATGCGTATGCTGAAGGGAAAACAAAGAAAAAGACAAACAGTTAATGATAAAAATATTCCTGAATCTGTACTGTACTAAATAAGTCAAACAATTAGCAACATAATAAAAACTGCAATAATTTAAAATGCTTGCTGAAACTAAATGCAGACTATCATTAAATAAGAACCTGCTGTTAGCACATCAATTGATTAAACTTTTTTAAATATTCAAAATGTCCAGCAAAAAGCACTTCCAATGCCATCAATAATCACAATGTGCCATATTCAGCTGTCAGAAGTCATATATGAAGGCTCAAATGTAGCTGTCTCCTCAAAAGAGTTGTAGGCTGATGTTATTTTAGTTTTGCCACAGGAAAGTAAAGCAATAGACATAGCAGTCTTAGAAGCCAGAGTTTTGGCACAAAAAGCAGATCAACCTGAAACTATGGGCATAATTTTGGAGATAATCAATATGATCGGTGCTACAAAACCAAATTCCTTTTGATGCAAAATATGTTAAGCAAATTATAAAAGCATGATATACAAGCAAGTTTATGTATACAATCAATACGGCAACACCTAACATCCTCATGGGAAAAAACCCTTGAACTACCATTAAAAGTGGATAAGATAACCTTCATTAAATCCAAACGCAATACTTTAATGTGGAATTAAAGCAGCCTTACTTCAGCTTATCTTAACTAACTGTAGACCTAAAGTATTAACATTTTAATTCCAAGTAAGTAACAAGGCTCAACAAATCCATTTTCATTTCATTTCTTTATTCTTGCCTTGATTAAACACACACCTTCTAAACCTGTTCCCAATGCAGTGTAAAACTGTAGTTTATTAAAAAAAAAAAAAGCTTAAGAAGTACAGTACTGAACAGCTCTTAGTATTTCACTTATTGTATCTTCTCCTTCAGTTATGGTTGCAGGATGTAAACACACAAATCGCCAAAAAAGCAGAGACAATTATCAGCTCTCAGAGTACTACCAACTTCAGAATTAGCAGGGAATTAATCCAAAAATCGGCAAGAGCCTTACAGTTGTATTTGTTTGTACTGATATACTTTGAAACCTAGTTTGTTTGCGGTTTTCATAGTTTTCACATTGCAAAGTGGCACATGGCTGCCAGAACACGCACCATAAGTAATATCAGAGGAAAGAATACAGGATTTTTACAGATGGAGAAACCTGTATGTTCCACATCTTTGGAGCTATTGACATTTTAATTTCTAGAAAGTGTTTTACAAAGGAACATAAGCCTCAGGCTTACTTTCATTCAGCTTTAAGATTGCACATTTCATCCGTCATCCCTTTTGAAGCTGTAATGCTAGAAGCTTCCTCCCAATCCACCTTGCGCCTCACTTGCCCAATCTGAATCCCATCTCCCGCTGGAAAAGATTTCCTGCCACCACACCATCTCATCATGAAACATGTCCCCAATACCAATTTATTATCATAAATTTTAAATACTCAACTGATCACACATTCCCTGACCAACTCTCATTTAGTCCAAAGGATAAAAGTCCAAAGGAGTTGTGCACTTTGTTTGGTATTTATTCTTGGTTTTCTGCCTAATGTTCTGTCTCCTTACACCTGCCATTTACTGCTCAAGTATTTTAGCACCGTAGACTGGATTTTCTCAGTTCTATGCCTCCCATCTAGTATGTTAAGTTACAGCTAAGAATAACAAGAGGTTTTAACAAAACCAGGGCAGCTTTAGCCAACGCATAGGCTTCTCTCCAACTGAACTGAACCAATAAAGCAAACTGAATATAATGAGTGAATATTTATTTCACGCTGCTTTTCTAGCGCTTGATTTGGCTCCTATCAACAAAAAGACCGGGTGAGTTTCTTACATGCCAGAGCTCATCTAATACTACTTCTAATTACCCTAGAGAAGGTGTATTGCTTCCTCCCCTCCCAACAATGTGCCATTAGCCATCTCACAGCACGTTGTAAGAGTCTGGAGAAAAAAATGCCAATGGATATGAGCCCAAGTGCTAAGGCAAAGGTAATGAGAAGTCCAGAACATATTCTTAGAGGCACAGGTAGCCAAAATAAGTACAGATTCCAAAACACGCTGATGATAGTAATAAAAGGTGCGAATGATTAAACTGCTCAGGTTTCCAACAACTTCCAAAATTAAAACCACAAATGAGATTGCAGTGAGTAGCAGTCAGTGCCTAGTATTAAGAACTACAGATTTCAATGTAAAAACTACAGGTGACCTTCCACTTCTACTCAAAAAACCCAAAAATACTGGTACAAGTCTCAAAACTCTAGCTAAGTATCTTGCCTCAGACACCAGTCGGTAGCAAATACCTAAGGAACAGACAATCAAAACCAGGTAGCACAGAGCATTCCTCTTCTACATGCTATAGCTTTAAGGACTTAGCTTAGAAAGTTTTTAAAACCACAGATTAAAATCTCTAGTGGGCTTTTCTTTCATGAACTTGTGCTTTCTGAACTGACTTACTGGCCTCTTCAACATTTTATCATTAACTTTGTGGTTCCAAATTTATTTTTTTAGTTAAAAGAAACAGTTTAAAAGAAATAATTATTTTTAAAACAATATTACAAGCTTCTTAACTCCTAGTTTAACATGAGCCACGTGAGAGAGGAACACACCTACCCGAATAATGAATCTAATGGCTGCACACCCAGAAGTTGCCATCACTTTGGCGCTGTTGGGAACCAGATTAAAAAGAGTAGGCACAATAGCTTCAGCGCCATGATCAAACTTGTTTCCCAGAACAGTTGAAAGATGGCTATTCAGGAAAAAGAAACAAAACTTGTTAACAAAACTTAATTTCTTAAGTCTTAAAATAATAAAGTTCACTGCACGTTTTGAAGATTTATCTTTCCAAGCCAAAAATTTCTTAGTTTCATGATTTCCAAAAGCTCTTGCCTCATCAGAAGTACAGGATTTGTGGAATATTTTTGTTACTTAGATACATTAAGCAGTTGAACACTAATAACTTCATTTCTTAATGAAAAACATGTACCACAAATTAAAAGCCTTAAGTTCTCATGTCCGTGAAGAATATAGTATTTCTGCTTTTTAACACACTGACAGCATGTATAAATCTAAAATCTTAAGGATATTATCACTTGAGGTTGTTTTCCTTTCGAATGCAGGCAAAACTTCTGAATTCATCATAATCAGCCAAACACAAAATTTGCCTTCGCCGTTCATTAAAGCTTATGGCTTCAATTTTAACAAATACATACACATACCACACACAGTAATTTAACTGTCCTGTGGTGACAACATATGCATCTTCCAGGTAGGGGCACCGTAGTCTCTCTTCAAGTTTGCTGCAGTCAAATGACACATCAAATATCTCTAAGTTTTAGGGAGCATGAAAAATTCCAGGCTTTTCAGCCTGGAGAACAAACGCCCTTAAATGTTTCTTTTTCTCTATGGCTTCAGATGGTGACTGCACTCTTTATCAGACTTAGCATCCAGCAGTCTCAACAAGATAATCTTTCCTGCAGCATCGTGAAAGCATCTCAAAGTCAAACTCAAGCTAAGATCAGCAACGTTCACAAGCACACTTAACCAATACTTACGCTACAGTAATGCACGCTTCTCTGACCACCTGGGATCTGAGATCCTTGGCCGACAGCTTGAAAGCACCATCCAACAACCGTAAGTGCTGGAAGAAGCCATCGTACTGTGCAGCTCCAGCAACAAGCAGTGACCGAACTTTCCTCAGCTAAAAAAAAAGCAAAAAAAAAAAAAGCATTCAGGTTAGGACACCACCAATGCGCGTGCCAAAACCAAAAAGTAAAGATTTAATTGCAAACATGTACACAGGCATGTCTTTAAGCAAAGCATAATTTTGAAACAGAATCACAGAATCATAGAACAATTCAGGTTGGAAAAGACCCTTGGAATCATCGAGTCCAACTAAAATATATGGCAGCGATTTAAAAAAAAAAAAAAGTTAACTGTAAAAAAAAAATCTATTACTTAAATTCTAGAGCTCAAAAGTCTCAGATCCCAGTCTACAAATATACAAATACGTAATTCTGTTCATACAACTGCTTCCAAATACTAAGATGTCATAAAATTGATTAAAAAAATATAAATGCTACATACATATAAATATTTTAATCCTGCAAGTGAAGCTTATCACAGGCACACATAGGAAGTACTAATGCCAGCAGTTTACCTGCAGAATACGCAGTTTTGTATAAATGGCAACCAAAACGTACATGACAGCTTTTAGACAAACTTCTGCTTAAATGTCAGCAAAAACATATTTCAGCCTTTTTAAAATACTTATAGAATCATGACTTGTTCAAACTTCACGGTATGCATAAATTCAAGGATTAAAAATTTAAATTTTTTCGATTATCTGGAGTGTAATTACTCTAAGAAACATTTTGAAATATCTAGCTGCCTGTGCTTTATGAAATACAACCACTCAAACCTGAAACTAAGCAACAACTTTACCGCATTAGTTCGTTGATCCCAATCATGTTTGTCATCTGAGAGAATTTCCCTGATTTTGTTCAATGTTTCTTCAAGTTCTCGACTAGAATAGATCTGAAGTATTAAAAAAAAAAATCAGAAAATTTATATTGTTAATATCCCAGGTAACTTTATGAAAGAAAATAGTTTGAGAAGACTGAAAATACCATTGTAACTCTAAAAATATTGCCCCAAAAGTTGCAGGGAACAGTCTAAGAGGTATAAACAGGCATTTTAAGGCAAATCTTTGAGAATATCACCAAGTAGCGAATAGTCATTAAAAGATAAACTGAGGAATCAACATGTTCCTCAAGACTTCCCCTTCCACCTTTGTGATGAGCTAATTATATCCATTAGAGGACAACGTACATACACATCACAAAAGGTGTAAGATGCAGCACCAAAGACAGAAAAATTAAAGGCTCAAACACTAAGAAGAATAACAACTATATAGACAGCAAGTACTTGAACATGGAGTACAAACTAGATACGAGTAAATAATACGATATTCCTAAAAATTCATGATGAACAGTCATTGGAGCAGGTTACTGGAAGGGATCTATCATTGGAGGCTTTTAAGAATAAATTAAACATACGCACACTGTAAGTAATCTCAATTTACTTGACTAATCGGCATGCGCTTAATCTTGATTCTAAATCAGAGCCATTTTTTGCATATCATAGTTCCCATCCTTACTTTTAATGAAGCCACTGCTGAAACCCACTAATGTAATAAAAAAGGAAAAACACAGGAATGGGCCCAATGACACAGAAACAACTCCCTCTCCATTCTAACAGGTCGCTTTTGCTTTTTAGAGTAACTTGGCACATTACAGGTCAAAAACATTCTTTCTTCACAGGTTCCAGTACAGAAACTTCTCTCTTCCTCAGCAATTAACACGGTCTCAGAATGTGGGATCTGCCTTTTTTCAGAAAAATCAGAGATTGTCCACAACCAGAAGCATGAAGTTACACAGCCCCCCCCCAAGTCAGCAGGTTATTTTGGGGTCAGTTACACATTTCTCTCCTGCCTCCTCACCTCAGTTTGGGTGAGATCAGTAAAGATAAGTGTGTCTCTCTCCTCCACCTCTTGCAGTTGTGGAATGACCCACTTTCGTAGGTTATCCAGCAGTCAGACAAATAACACGTGCTGGTCAAAACCACCCTTTTGTTCTTGTGATGTTATTAACCAACTTGAGCGATTGAGGAATCTGCTCAAGACTGCGAATACTAAGGCACTGAACTAGAAGCAGTGTATTTTCTGTGCTGTGGAATACATGTCTCTGCTCACCATAATGGGGACAAAAAGTATTAAGAGCTCCATGTTTTTGCTCTCCAGCACTGCTTCTCTTTTTTTTTTTTTTTTGCTCTCTTAACACTGTTTGGAAAGACAAAAAAAACCCCAGAAAATTCTTAACTGTTCAAGAGAAAGATTTCCTTGAAGTGACAGGGATCGCATCTCTATCTCTATAGAGATAGAGTGTTGCCTCATAAAAGCAAACAGTACTTGTACCTACAGAGTGAAATCTAACAAATAACTATGTTATCCTCTTGGGAAATAAAAATGGAACAAAAATACGTATCAGGGGAGGGGAGTCACACAAAATCCTTTCAGCGCTCAGGAACTACGGCTCACTGAGTTCTGGTAGCTTTCCACACTTCAGGTGCTTAAGCAAAGCTTACTTCAAAATAGGTGTAGGAAAATGCAAGCAGGTTAAATGACTTAACTATGTGAAAGTCCCAAATACGTGCAATCTCCACACTTAAAGAATAGAAATTAAAATCTGATCTTTCAGCTCAGAATCCAACAGGTTCATTAGTATTCAAATAAAGTACGAGATTACTTTTTTTGAAGTACTGCTAGAGATGAGGACGTGTATGCCAGACATGCATAATTACAATTCAGCCATATTTAAAAATACAACTTTTGCTTTTTAAATTATTTGCCTGTATTATTATTACTTGATTATCCCTTGAAATTGCAGTTACTGAAATCTTTTTCTTATTAAAATTAAAGCACAATTATTTTCAGTAGCTCCCTTGAGAAGATTAAGAAAAGCAATAATGGATTTTAGCTGTGATAACTATTAGTAGCACAGCAAAGAAAAGGTGGCTTTTTGGGTAACTAACTGGAAAAACTAAAGATCTTTCCATAGAGACCTGAAATTCAGAAAGATGGAAAAGTAACGACACTTGCTTAGAAGACTGTAAAAGCTTCAAACTTTCAAAAGTCGGCTAACATGTAGTATTGCAAATGGTTTATTTCTGCAAAGAAACATAACACAGCACCTTACCTGTACAGTAGGAACATCTGTAAATGCCTTAATAAAATCATCCTCATCCACAGCTCCAGCTCCTCCTTCTTTAGAGGAACCTAAATAAATGCAATACACTGTCAAACAGCATATAATGTACATCAAGGTTTTCAGAAACTGACAGACGAATCTTTCAGAATATTTTCAACATTTTACATCATTTAAAGTTCTGAACATTCATCATGGGTAAAACTAACTTTGAACTCTGATTTCATCATGAATAGGGAAAAAATTAAACAGTTTTTCACCCCAAAAAAGAAAAATTGTGTTTTCTGTAAACCTTTCCATTTGATACAGTTAATTGTTTCATTTTGTTATTTTTACTCATGTTTAATTGGAAATTTGTTTAGTACAATGGAGGTCTTGCCCCAGCTCTTTCAGAGTGAGGCCAGGAGGACAGATGGCAGAAAGTCCTCCCTAACTTGCAGAGCAGAGCTGAAATGGAGGCATCAGACAGAGCAGACATACATTTTACTAACTACAGAACAAAGTAAAAAATCTAAGGAAAGAGAAATTAAGGTTGTATCATCAACTAAAACATAAAGCTAGGACTTCTTGAGAAATCGAACTTTGTGGCTGCGCTTTAAAAAGATACCACTAGAAGTGGTATCTAGCAAAATGTGAACATGATGCCTGCAGTACGATATAAGAACATCTAACCAATTTTGACAGTCTCAGCTCAAGGATGCTGTAAAGAGATGCTATACATAACACACTTCCACATGTGTATCTCCAACACCATCTGTCTTAACTGTCAATTGCAGCCAGAAGGGAAAGAAGAAATTAAAGCCAACTATTTCTTAGAATCATAGAATGTCTTAGGTTGGAATGGACATTGGAGACCATTTAATCCAACCTCTCTGCCATGGGCAGGGATACCCTTAACTAGACCAGGTT